AAGTTTCTTTTAGGAGTAAAAGGCTGTTTAGTTGATTAGTGAGTGCTTATGGAAAATCGTTGTTTAAAAGCTCAAATTTTGGCTTACCGTAACAACCTTTGGCACAGTGAAAAGCTACTACAGTACGGCCATTCGAATAGGTCATTATTTAGGACAGGTGTCAAAATCATGTTAAAGCAATAATTTATGGTCTATTTTTCTTTGTTGTCAAGCCTTCTATCGTATGGGATATGTTATGATACTTGTCAAATATGGCCTATTCGGATGGCCGTACTTCAAGGGATAAATTCAAGTAATGCGCAGCTTCATTCTCTGTGAATTTAACACATTGACTTCGACTATTGTTGCTGTTCTAGAGCAGTTGTACCTATATCATGCATGATGACTTAGGCGGCCCTTCGAGTTACCTACCTAACTATTTAAAAGACCAGCGAACTTATTATTCTGCTTTTTTATAGAAATAACCAGTTTACCACCTCAGGAGTGGGGAATCATTGTACCACCAATTCATCAATCTTGGGTACTATTATGTCTCATTCGTCATCCTCCCTTTCATGCCACCAAACTTATAAATTATTCTCTACTGAAACAAACGACACTGCAAAACGCAAAACGAAATACAAAGGCCATGATATTGCTTTTCATCGTTGTAGGTACTTGCATACGTGAAAAGATAGTTTATTAGAATTTACAAATTTCACATTTAAAGGAAATAATCAAATCTAGGCCCCCCTCTAAGTAACGGCTAAGAATCTCATGAAATGTAAAAAAGATGATACGTTTTTTGGATCAAAATCTTATATAAATCATCTTCAGACGAAACGGGAATCACAATTTATGTTAAAAAGTATATTTTTGTGTTTTATTCCGGTCAAAATTCTGGTTCCTTGATTCTGCTGACATCTGTGACACAAACGTAAAGTAGGTACTAAGAGCAACTAAGAGGAAATAAGGGTAAAATGGAGCAGTTTTTAGAACCCAGGATGCGTAAAAACAACTACAGCGCAGACAATCTCCTGTGTATGCCGAGTGATGCCGGCTTAGAACAGCATCACCCCAATTCTACCCGTGGGTGTATGACCAAAAGCCAATAGCGACTAAGGGATACTCATTCAGGGAATGGGCAGCAGGGTTCCCTGTTAATGCACCATCATGCACTGCGCTCGCCAATCCGCCTGCCAAGCATGGTAAGTATGGCAATACCCCCCGATAGGGGGAGGCCCATGTCCAGCAGTGGACCGTTGTGGCTGTTATGTTATGTTATAGCCGGGTTCGTACGTAAGACAAGCAACAAAAGCGACTACAACAACATTAATGATAGATTAATGATTAATGACATTTTTATGATTTATATGACTTTATTAAATAATAGTAATAATAGGCCAGCTGCCACTGGCATTACAACGGCAAAAATATAACAGACCATGCCACAGGAACTGCAAAGGGTGATACGAATTCGTGTTTGGAAACTTCTTTCAACAATGTCTTTAAACTTCTGATCAGGGGTAGGTACCATTTTACCCCATCTACCCTGCAAGTATTACATACTCTTTGAAACTCTCATAGAGAATAAAACTTCTGCCATACTTCTGCATTTCCTCTTTTGCTATTGTCATCAAGTTGTCATTTGGCAAAAGGAAGTATACCCGCACACCCGCAACGTACTCGCCGTACGCGCTGAATAATGCGGATGGCCTCGCACACCTAGCCGCAAGCACAGCCGCATTGAATAGAGTTGGTGTTGCCAAGAGAGTACTTTCCTCCCAATTTAATGTGTAATTTTGCCGTATGTGTGTATTTTTCGGAATTTTATTTCAAATAATAATTGCTGTCATTATACGCCAAAGGCACGTTCAAGCAGCCAACTTTCGTAACTGCAAAATTTTCTCCGTGCACCACGCAGCTTACTTTTGTTCCCATATATCCAACTGATCACTTCTACAGTAGAACAGGTCGGAATATTTTCTACGTTCTATGTTCTACGGTGGAACAAAACTTTTGAACATATTACAGGTCCCGCTGTTTCAACTTTTAAAAAAATATTATTGTTCAAGGAAGTAGAATGTGCAGAAAAGCAAAATGCCAATACGTCAAAGTAGCAAAATGTAAAATTGCTAGAATGTAAACGTAACAAAATGTAAAGAAGAAGCGGAAAACATTTTGTGCCAATGTCTAAATGTTAAGGTAACAGAATGTCAATTGAATTTAAAAGGACGGAATCTCAAATATTAAAATGTCAAATAAGCAAAATGTGAAAATGTCATTTGGTTATTCTTTAAGAGTGACATAGACTCCAAAACCTTCGAAACATTAGTTAAGAAAAACTGGAACACGGACGGTGAACAGCAGACTTTACTGGGAGGTAATGTTGATGGCACAGTCTGGCAGCATTGACAAAAACTAAATCTTTTTAAATGGTTACACTGTCCGCGTGCGCTCATGACGTCATCAGCATTATAGTCTATGATTAGCACTGGCTTAGATTAGACAGCCGATGTGGCGCAGTGGTTAGTATGCCTGCCTGCCACGCAAAGGTTCCGGGTTCAATTCCCGGTGGGGTCAATCACAAAGTTGATATTTATCACTTTGTGAATTTGTTCCCAGTCTGGTTAGGACATTGCAGGTTGAACCACCTGATTGTCCGCAAGTAAGGAGGTTCCGTGCTTCGGATGGGCACGTTAAGCCGTCGGTCCCGGTTGCTGTCTATGATGGCGGTCGTTACACAACCATGTCAGAGGCCTGATACTTGTAGTAGGCGGTTGAAAAACTCTGACACCAGGGTTCATCGGGTCGTTGAACGACTCGGTGTCCCACACGAAAAAGAGAAAAGAGCACTGGTTAGGCGCGTGCGGCTCGACAATATTTTCGAGGTTCCACAGATTTTCATACAAAGAATCCAAAATTCGGCGAGTGCGTTGTGGGTGTGCGGGTATAAATACTTTCACCTTATAACTCTTATCAAAATACTTAGTTAGGTTATGCCATTTTAGGTTAAGAATTATTTTGCGTCGTTTCATCAGTTTCCCGTTAGATAATTAAAAACTAAGTATGCCACCATGATCTAGATAGCGTAAGAAATACATTACTACGAGTTTAATTACTAGCCATTTCGATTTAGGCCCCCATTTCGAGGGGCCTAACCTTGTATGGGCATATGATTATCACCTTTTTGCCCGATAATTTAGTTTTTATGACAATCATGTTTTTACTATATCTTTACAACTAACCATATATTTCTTATCTATAGTTTCACAATCTTGCCATTCCGCCACAAAACGCGAAGAGGCGAAATAAGGGCGGGTGCACATCAATCTTCGTCCAGCCTCATCGGACGAATCAAAAGGCTAACCCGACTCCTTGCGGATACCGCGGGAATACTGATTACTTTGCCGGGCTCAGCCGTTTTGTGCATTGTCTACCCAATTTGAAACGGATCCAAGTTGTTCTTGTTAACTTTGATATAACAGTTTAGAAAATTAAAGATATATTTTTGTTATTCTTAGTAGGTCAGCAGGATTCATAAGTCAAAACCATACCTACTACCTATTGTTATTATAAAAACCTGCTAGAGTTCAAATTGCACTAGGTCACGTAGGTGCGTATCTTTTGATCTCCGTCTTGTTGAGTGGGACAACCAGTCGTCTAACGACCCGATGAATCCTGGTCAGAGATTTTAACCGCATACTACAAGCAGAGGCCTCTGATGTGGTTGTGGAACGACTGCCGTCTAAGTAATCATACACAGCAATCGGAACCGATGGCTTAACGTGACCTCCGAAGCACGTAATCTCGAATGTTTCGGATCTTTAGATGTTTAAGATGACTGAATCCCAAAGATTTAGGAACATTTATAGTACATGGAAATGGTTTAAAACTAAGAAAACGTTGTTGCCTAAAGAACCTACAAAATATCTTTTACAATATCTTCCGTATTCCGAATATCTCCACAATTTAGTAGGTCAAATCTTGAATGATGATATTTTCCGTTGGCTCGGCGTAATGGCGTCGCCTGTACATTATTATCGTTTTATTGAATTTATCAGACCCTCTTGCCGGAATTGATCCTCGTTACCGAAGATTGGCAACGGCTCACGAGTGTCTATCTACATAACTTGGAAAATTTGTGGACGAGATGTATATTTCGTAAGCGACATAGCTAAGGTAATATGAAGGATGAAACCGGTGGGTTTTTAAGGATATATAGAGATATCTTTCCGACAAACAGTTTCCATTTAAAAAAAAGAAATTCGGTTTTATTGCATTTCAATTCAATTTCTTGTTTTATGGCTTTTTCATCATGATTTCGCCAGTATCAAGTTTGACTTTGACTTTATTATTGGGATCACAAAAGATTTATTGCATTGAGAAAGGCAAAATATTTACCATGTCTGTTCAAGATATAAATCTTTAAGTATTTTGTGTAGCTAATAAAGTTTATTTTTCTCACCAGTGAAGTTCCGATTTTGAAAGATGTGCAGTGTTAAAATTATAGTCAAATGGGATTAATGTTTTCTTACGTTTGAAAATGCTAGCTACTGAATTCAATCAAAACTGAATAATATACCTACCTAAAAGTCTAAAATAATGAGTCAAATGCAAATCTAAAACTGCTTCACAACCATCACTTAAGTAGGTACTTGGCGGAAAGTCGACCAAAAGGTTCTTTCATCAGTCTATATCTATAGAAAGTTGGATGCATCTTCAATGTCGATGGTACTAGGATTCCCCTGGTCTATTGCTTTCACTGTCGACGATATTAGAATTCCTACTACAAAATATAACAGTCATAAAGAGGCTCGTTTAAAAAACACCCAGTCGCAACTGAAGGGTCATGCCCGTTTGAAGGCCCATAAGATTGCCACTTTAACAACTATTACCAAACTCCCCTCGACATGGGGTAATGTTAGTATTTACACTAACACGGCTTGATTCAGCATACATTGCGGGTTATTTTCAGTATATTGCAATAAATGAATATAAGAAAAGTTGCAAAATTCATTAGCGTCGGCCGGGACTTGAACCCGGGACCGTGGGGTACAGTAGCACTGCTCTGTCAACTGAGCTACCGGCACCTCGCTGGCCCTAACGAACTACTAGATATCGCTAAATCATCGCTTCCAGGCGAGCATCAAGTAGTCGAAAGATTTGTTAGGGTCAGCAAGTCACAGGTAGCTCAATTGACAGAGCAATGAGATGAGACGGTACCCCATAGTCCCTGGTTCAGGTCCCGGCCGACACTAATGAATATTTCAACGTTTCTTATTTTCATTTATGAGAACAATATAGCCCTGAATGCATTATAAATAGTATATTGCAATGATACAAATAGATAACTAGCAATGTATGCCGAATAAGGCCCTGTGGACTGATAGGCTAGTAAGAGCTTAAATGCAACAGGGGCAATACCGTCATATGACGTAACGTGAACAGCCTCAAGTGTTGGATTTGCAAATATTGGCTGCTTTTGAGGGATGGCTGCAATATAGCTTAAATGGAGTCATTTGTACTGGGGGGTGCGGTGGTGCCAACTGCGCTACTGGTTTTATACGTTTCTTCAAAATATTGTTGTGAAATTATGCTGATTTTTTTTGTATCCTGCATTTTGCATAACCTGTAGAAACATCCAGTAAGAATTTGAAAGAATATATTTAGATAAGTACTTAAGTTTTTTCATAGCTACTACCTAGGTTCTTAATTATAAAGTTAAATACTAAGATCATTATGGAAATACGTAGAAAGAGAATGTTTTTAAAGTACAATAACGTAGAAAATCTTTGGTCTTTCTTAACGGTAAGAGTCAATTCCAGACAGCATACCTACAGGTATAATATATTTTTTGAGTAACCACAGCAGTGGCGTGAATAAGGTGTTTAATTTTATCTATATGTGGCAACACTGGCGTTTCTTCCGTATAGAGTTACCAACTCTCAGATTGCTTTGGTGAATCAACAGAAATAAAAAGTGGTAGGATGTGGAAAGTTGGCAAACGAAGATCGAATAGAATTCCTAGTTTTGAAGATAAACTTTGCGCATAAAGTCGGTCAACTTATCCTTTTAAAGATATGTTTTCTAGATCAATAAACTATTTTCGAGTTTTATTTCAACTCATAACGCATTTGCTGGTTTAATTGGGAATTTAGCTATTTATTCTATGATTGTAATATCAGTTTTACTTTCTTGTATTTTTTTGTTTTCAGATGTCACTGTCTAGGTTTAAAAACTACAGAAAAGTGCCTACTTATTTCTACACAAAAAAATACTGATAAGAGGTTTAGGATGTAGTTAGCTAAGTACTTTTTATACCTAGAGATCAGACCATGAATCAGACAGATTTCGCCCAAATGAGCCTAGCTAAGGGGCTACATAGCATCAACTCGTACGAAAAAGAAACTCAAAGATTCTCTAACAGACATACTAACCATACTAAACCTATATATATGCTAACGATAAAAAACGAGCCACACTTTCTTTGTTGTCCGACCACTCGTGGCCCCTATTTGACTCATGCAATACCACTCGTATGCTGATTGACCACTTTGCGAGTCGAGGGCCTGTGGGACCCTGTTGGGGTCCATTCTTCCTGTTGCCCTGTCAGCCCATGTGATCAGAATACGAATTGCGTGCATTCTAGAAAAGTATTCTGAGGGGCTTTGATTCCTAAGCGATTTGAGCGAATACCACTACTTATAGAAAACTTGTCTTCTTCTTGTTATTATTATAACTTTTTATCAGTAATCATTAACAATATACGGTTACATTTAATTAAGTACAATTCTCTTGAGGGTGTAATCTACTCACAAAACTGAAAAGTGTTAGAAACTTTTCTTCGAAATATGAAAAAAAAATTGGACCTCCCATACTAAGTGACACACTTTTTCAGCATTTTTGTATGCTAATTAAATGTAACCCTATATATTCAGGTGGTCCCGGTTGTAGGTACTAATCGTTTGTGCAGTTCAAACTAAGTTAAGGAACTACCTAGTATCCCAAAAAAAAAAAAATGCGTGACTAACTAGCAGTACGACCTAATTAAAATGATAATCAGGTTAATTTAGACCCAGTCCGGGAATCGAACCTGTTGCTAGGTGGCCAGGACTCTCTGATGTGACAATTAACTTCCACCCGCCGTAATTACGGAGGCCTACGCGTTGATAAGAGGGAACTAGTAACGGCAGCAAAAACACTTCAAAAAGTAATAATTTTTTTTTACTATAGTCCCACGTAACGTCACCACCTGTTTTTCCGTGGGAATGTCTTTTGTGCTGTGATAGTAACTTAGCTCTTGACAATAGAATTTTCAAAGACACAGTAGTTTCGGAGATTTAATTACCCACTACCTAATAACAAATTATCAGAGATTTCATTACCCAGTACCTAATTTACTTTCGTACAAATTGCAGTCCACACAAACCAACAAATTATCACCTTCTAGTCTTGGCAAAAGTTAACATGTTGGCAGGAACCAAATAAACAGGATACAATTTGCTTTAAATGTAGAAGCAATAATTTCCAAAATAAAACGAATAAAACTTCAACAAGAAAAAGCTAGAATATTTTACCAGAATATGAATTTTAGCGCAGCAGGAATAAAAACTAGTTTTGGACGAGATCCAAGTATTTTTTATCTGGACGTAGGCTTCGTTATTTTAATGAAAACAGCACTGATGTAACAGCAATTCTAGAACATTTTAGTACCTAGAATTTTTATTACTAGGTATAACTGTTTTATTTTACTGCAGGGCAGGAACATTGCTATTCGATTGTCCACCAATGCGCAGTAAATTGTACTGACTTTACTATTCAATCTTGAAAAAAGGCTCTTATGATTTTAAACGACGTTTTACGACCTTTGACGCTCTCCCTACCCTGCAAGTTATCAAACCGTGATTTCGTAATTGTAAAACATGGATTCATTTCCGTAATTTGGCATTCATGGACAGGTCATTAAAATATGTAGGTCAAATTATTGTTCCGGCCATTCCCGTGTTGTTTTTGCCGACGTTACATTTCCGGACTGGCTGGCCGCAACGCTAGGTCGGAAAAGATCATTTTGCACAACGCAATTAAACTTTAACTTCATTAATGAAAATACCTTATTTTCTTTCGTTTAAATAATGGTCGGCCATATTGTTCTCAAGTCTCCATTGTGTTTTGTACAATAAAAGGCGTATTTCAGCTTTCGGCCCATTGTAGGTCTGTAGGACTGGCAGTTTTAGGGATCCGCACCAAATTGGCTGTTGACATTTGAATTGCATTGATGTTTACGGTAATTGTTATTTTATTTATACGGGGTGTAAGGGACAGGTCTCCGAATACTGAAAGGGTGCATGCAGACCATGAAACTGAACAACTTCCCATAGAAATAAATTTCAGGAAACGAAAAATTTTTTTCGACTTCCCATACAAAATCACGATCAACTGATTGCATTTACTATGGGAAGTAAAAAATTTTTTTACGTTTCCTGAAATTTATTTCTATGGGAAGTTGTTCAGTTTCATGGTCTGAATGCACCCTTTCAGTATTCGGAGGGCTGTCCCTTACACCCTGTATGTTAGACACTTTTAGAATTGTCCTCCTCATGAGTAAAATGTGGCTAAACAAAAAATTTAAAAATATCGTCCATTTCGAATGAGATATTTTACCTACTAAGTACTTCCAGTATCTAAGACTATTTAAATGTCTAGATTTATTTTTAGAGAGGCTATACCTACCTCAGGCCTCATAAACCTTACCTATTATGCAAATAAGCAAAAAAATAAATGATTATACCAAATAAATGACTATACCCGATTCAGAAACCTTATCTGTTGTCGCTAGCACCGATTCCGTTTTTGAAATCTTTTGCCGCATGACAGTTGAATGGCATCGCGATACGACTCAGAAATGGCGGGAAAACGCGAGATAAAAACGTTTAGGAATTTTCCATTTTCATATTCAAATGTTTTTAACAAAAATAAGGTTGTTTTTGCTTGGTGCAGTTGTTTTGGATTCAATTCTAATTAGTTTTTTTTTGTTTCAGGTAAATTATTGGAAGATGTACATTATGAAGATCTCTGGTTGTTGGCCTGAACTATGTTTATCTAAAACATTAGTAACATACAAAGGTATTTCTAAAATTATGGGCTAGGTAAAAGTTGTCAGTAGCAAAAGTAATCTAGAGCTAGAAAAAAAATAATCTCAGACAGTAATTAGGCTTCACATTAATTTTATACTGAACATAATCACTAATCAGTGAGCAGAAGAAAGACCATTTAGGTAATTAGAATTGAAAATGAGAATCACATTAAAGACTGCATCCGAGCTTAACTTTTAGTTTTTTACTTCCCTCTTTGCAATATACGGAACTCAAAGATCTCTAGAACGACACCCAATCGCCTAATTTTGTTTTAATTGAAGCACGTCACAAAATTTAAGCGGCCATTTTGTTTTATGGCCGGCGAATACGAGCTTAGTTTTTACTCTACTTTTACTGCATTTTACCATGTTCGAATCACTCGAGGATTGTAATTAAAGGAGAATGCTCAAAAAAAACCCAGGCCCGGCGCAAACTATATGTATCTCAGTTTATCAATATAAATGAGTAATTAAATGTCATAAATGTGCCATTACTAAAAACGATGGCTAAATATAGGAAACTGCTATTTATTTTTTATAAGGTGTAATTTTTATGATTGTTTTGCTATATTGAACTTTCATTATTTTATTGAGTTAATATGCTTCGAATTCACCGTGAGCATCATTACAGAGTGGTATAAGTCTTACAAGTGCGAGCAAGACTGCACTGTAGCATCTTCTCGTCGGGCGTGAAGCGACCGACGGGGAGTCGCCTTCGAGGCTGAGGCTCATGGGCGATGTCTCGAATCGCTGCCTGTAAAAACAGGCAGGTCCTGGAGGCGTCGCATGCGACTAGGTGTCTTGTCTGGGTCGTCGGGTGCTACAGAGACTCCGGTTACGACCGGGGAAAGGCAGAAATAGCGAAAACTCCCGCGCGCGGTATTGCGGGTAGTTCGAGAAAACTATCGACTACTTGACTTATTGAATTGGTCAGACGAGAAACAATGCAAACGTGTG